ACAAATGTATTAACTATAAAAGGCTGTTTGCTATCCCTTATCAGAACAAAGCAGATTACTGAGCGAAACATACCAAGCTTAAGATCTTAAAGAGACTGGTTTCAAGAACTAATTTTTCACCCTAAATGTTATTTTTAGGCAAGTTACAGAATTTCTGTAATTTACAGTTCCAGTTATTTCTTCTTACAGACTGGACCCCTGCCTTTCCCCTCAGATTAGTTCCTTTGTCCCTTCAGATACTTTCAGCAGTTTTTCTTTTGGGTAGGCAATGGAGGAGAGTCCAGATTAACCCCCTCCCCAGCCTTAAAAAGGATTTACTTAAGGAGGGAAACCTTTGTTTGATCCCCATCCCCCTACAGAGGAAAAGTACCATCAGTGTCCAAGGTGGTGTTTTGTACCAGATGCTCTTATCACCTGACCTTGCAGTGTCAAAGCAACTATGAAACCAGGTTTATTTGCAAATGTCCACAAGAAGGCTCTTCAGGGAGATGGGAGATCCACATCTTCAAAGACTCATTGTCTTTTTCTAATGGCCCATTAAGTCTGATTGCTTACTGTCTTGTGGGCATTTCCCCAAGTATATGCACAGTTATAATTGTTATAGTCAATATTCCTAACTTCAGATACAGAAATGATACATGCATACAAATTGGATAATCACATTCAGTAAATCATAACCTTTCCAGTGATATGTTACATGAGCCATCTTACATAAAGTATATCTTAGTTATGCCATATTCATATCATAACCATATTTCTATGAAGAATATGGGGTGAAATGCCTAGAAAAGAATGTAAAAAACAAAAACAAAAAACATTTCCTGCATCTCTTTCGTGGTCTGTATTGTTACAGACATACTTGCGGACAGGTATTTTGAAATAAATTACTAAAATAATTGAAACTGGCATGATTATATGATGTTATTTTGCCAAATAAAATATGCAGAATTTTAAAATATTGTGTGCAGAATTCCTAATTGTTTGCAACAGAATTTAATGTTTTGGTGCAGAATTCCTACATGAGTATAAGATTTTTCTCTTTAATGCTTTTTACTTTAAGAATAAAATAGGCTTGGATAGGAAGTGCTGCGTGGTAATTTATAACTGTTGACAGTCACTCTATCAGTCTATGAAGAGAAAGCAAGCAGATGTCTTTGAGAACCTCTCTGTGCTGGTGAAGGCAGGGATCTGTTCAGCCTGGAAATGTCCTGGTCAGAAGGGGGAGAGACATAGTTCTCCACTCAGAGAGGAAATGGCTGGAGAGCTGAAAGCTGAGAGAGAGTACCCTTGCTGAACCACAGAGGGGAAATACAGGTGCAGTTGGCCTGAAATGTGACAGCTGAATTCTGGGATTCCAACCTTGTGTTCAAATAGCACACTGAAGAGGGAGATCCACCCCCACTCAGCCACCCCTCCCTGTCCCCTTGTGTCCCTACACCCCCACTCCTATTCAGACCCTGCCCCAGTCTGTCCCCCTCACTAGCCCTTCTGAACCCCAGTCTGTGACCTTCCAGCATCCCCCTGTGCCTCATGCCATCCGGCCCCCCATATCCTTTGCCTCTGACCTGGCCCCGCAGGAAGGATGCTGTGAGGAACAGTCTCTTTTTCTTCCCTAGCTGCAGCTGGGGCTGCTCCCACTGGCAGCTGCTCTCTGTTCTGGCTCCACAGTGGCCCCTCATGGTCAAAAGGGGTAATTACAGCACCTTTCTGGCAGAATGTATTTTCTGCAGGAAAAAAAAATTCTGCATGCCCCATGAATTCTGCGTGTGCACAATGGCACAGAATTCCCCCAGCAATAATATTAAAAATATTAGAACGTGTTGGCTTTTAAGCTTACTGGAATTAACCCAAACCCCAACATAAATTCTAGCAGGCATCCTTCCAACCCTCCCCTAAGGATTGGGGCCCTCTGTGGTTCAGGAAGGTGAAACCCAGACTATTTATCCAAAAACCCTTGCTTTGTCTGAATCAAAGCTGAACTAGTATATGCCTAGCTCTCCAGGAAGGTGGTTGCTCTGGGGATGTTACAAACAGTGAATTTGCCTAACCACCCCCTGCTGTTCTCCTATTTACCCTTCCCATAGAAATATCTTCAATTCTATAATAACATATACAACTGCATTTTTAATACAATGGACCCTGAATGTATTAATTTAATTCAACAACATTCATTCAGAATATTATAGAAAGCGTCAGTCAGAGCTGCTGTACTGGAAGGAGGTTCTGGAAGAAGGGAGAAGAGACTGCTGATGTTCAGGTGTTTATCGTCCCAGCTGTAGTTCACCCAAAAAGCAGAGGGCAGGATTTGCTCTTTACAAGTTCTAAGTGAAAAGTAATTAGCACCCAGAATTGATAGAGCACCAGTAAGGAATGGCATTTTTGTGGGAAAATTTTATTGCTTAATATTAACAGTTTGGTGTCTACCTGAAGTGAGTTACAAAAATGAGTATGTAATAACATGTCCTTCACTGTACATATGTACATTATAGCTTCAGTTGTCTTGTCAAACCCTCATTTAAGACTCGTAGTTTCTGCCAACTGCTTAAAAACTTATTCATATGGAGTCAATGGGACTATTCATGAGACTAAAGTTAAGTAGGTGCAAGTGTTTGCAGGATCAGGGACCTGTCTTGTTTCTATGAAGGGACTATTTAAGGCACTCTAAAAAGCCATAATGAATTCTGTATTTATCTTCAAAGGATGAAACACTACTAATAATGTCAAAACTGTCAGCCAAAAACACATTTGCTATCCACAGGTTTGACATTTAGAGCCTAGAGATGAAACTTGTCAATCAAATCTGTTGTAAATGGATGTGACACCAGTTCATAGGTAAAATGTATTTAACTGACAATTTAGGTGTGCAGAATATGCCTGTTTTGGGGAAACTAAGGGAGCCGCAGAAGGCTGGTTCGGACTGGTACCGAGAGCACGGGGGGCAAAGGTCCCTGGACGAAAACACCCCTGGAAGAACCCAGAGCTTAAAACCCTCCTGAGAGCCGAAGCAAGTCGGAGATTTACAGCGGACCCTAGACAACCTGTGCACAGGGCAGAACTCTTCTTCCCCTTTTCTTCTTATGATACACCCAGGCTTGGCCAACCTTGGGTTGTGCATGTGTATGTATGAAAGTGGGTTAGGGCTTGGGCACTAATGCTTTCTTCCTCCCTCTGAGTAATGTGGGGCACACCCAGCACTCACTGTTGTTATTTGGTTAATAAAGCTTTAAACTTAGTCACTTGGTGTGCTCCTTCATCTCCTCCCCTAAAGATCCTGCGGCCTCAGCCTGATCACCTGAAGTCCCAGGCAGATTTGTTACCAATCTGTCACAACAGTTGTTTCCAACCTCAGGAAGAGTAACCACTGAAGCTGTACAATCAGCAAAACATCTAGAAGAACAGCAGCCTTGTTATAGTTACACACAATTAGCTCAAGGTATATGGCTGTGGGAGAGAGGAGGCCTAGACAGAGCACACTGTACTCTCTCTCTGGCTGGCACTTGGAGCTATAGCCAGCATTGAGGCCACCCTAAAGTATGCCAGGGATAGGAATGGCCACCCAGAAACTGTTTCTTTGCAACGCCTCTCCCCGGCTTCTGTATTTAGTGGCTTTTTCTGAGGACTGAGGCAAAGATTTTTCCCTCCCTATTTGAGTATCATTGTTGTCAAACTCCATACAAATTACTATCCCCATCCCATGTTAATTATAGGAATTTCTAATGAGATATAAATATTCACATTTGGTAGCAAATGGATATGAATCCAGTATAGAAACCTAAATAAATGAAAAAGAAGACTGAAAAAACCAAATTCCATTAACAGAAATTGCATGTATTTGTTCTTTGTACTCCTACCTTCATCGGCTGTGGTGTCAGTAGAATGCTAAGGAACAATGAAGATAAAAACCACTAAGAAGCAATTCACGTTAAAGCAGCAAATCAGACAGACAGAAACCACAACTTTATTATTTTAAAACCAGCACAGGAGAAATAGTGATAATGATTAACAAGATTAAAATGTTGAAGACATTGCACTTCTCGTCCTGTACTGAAACGAGGGTGTTAAAATATAATGCATTTGCCTGAAAGCTTGAGCACTGACTACATGTGCTTATGCTGTATCAGAATATACAAACATTCTTAACTCATATGATTTAAAGAGATGAAGAGAATCAAAGTAAGCTTCTAGTTTCATAATGATAGGATTTGACAATTCAAAATGAGAACTTTTACATGAGGGAAAGATGACAATAAGTAGTCATGCTGTTGTTTATACTGAATATTCCAGAAAAAAAAAAAAACAACAACAACGAATTGTTACTACTATGGTGGATTCAAAATAAAAAATTGACAGTCTAAAATCCAGATTCCTGTGAAACTGAAGCCTAAATATTACATTGCCTGCACTATATCATCAGAACAATACCTTATGCATTAAGCTCAAGTTTACATTTATTAATGGAGTACATTTCAGATTGGCAGAAGCCCCTGACAACATCAAAACAAAGCGTGCAAAATATAATTGGGTAGGTAGAAATAAATATTTGCTGCTAATAAGACAAAAATCTTTCCCCCTTCCAAGTAAGGCTTTGTACAAAATAATCAAATATCAAGTACCTTTTACAAATTAGTTTAAAAATAAGACTACCAATTAGGCAACAATTTTAGGGTAGGGTAAAGTAATTAAATGTATTAAAACATTAATAGGTTTAATCAGAAAAAACAAACAAAAAAAACCAAACAGTCCCTGGTGAGACATCATATACATAATTTACATTTGGCTTCTACTTTATTGCCAATACAGTGGAATACTGGTAACCAGTTGCATCTTACAGTATGTTCTGTTTTTTAAAGACCAATTTTTCACAATACTGGCAATAAGATACCATTTTATTGCTAGTGTTCCATCTTTTAACATTGGGGGGGGGGGTTTTTCAGTGACAATACGAGTGTTAAGTAGCAATTTTTATTCACCAGTTAAAAAAAAAAATAAAAAACCACACACACACACACACACACACACACACCTCTTAAAGCAGTTTCTTCTAATTCTGTGAGAAATTTGGTGCTTATAAAAATCAAGGACAAACACTCACTAGAGCCAAGTATAGTGTTGCCAGATGACACTCAGTGCGCCACTAATGAATTTTATTACTGACTAGCAACAGATTATGAAACTGCTCTTGACCAGAAACTTTAAAAAATTGTGCAATTTTATGAGGAGGGCCAACGTCCACTGGTAATCTGTAGCATAATTTGAATTAGTGCATTTCACATTTCAACACATTTTACAAGAGCAGGTAAACCCAGATTTTCTAAACACTGAATATTCAAATCTTCATGTTATCTGAAATTTATATTGGTCCAATAATCATAATTTGAATTTGATTAACTTTTACAAAACGTCAGTTTTGATAATATTTTGGATGCACACAGAGTCCTTCATAAAAATCAGGATTTATTTGTATTCTGTTTTGAAGTTGATATTCCACCTTTTATGAAATAATTCTTCAAACTGTTTCTTGTTAGGAAAAAACAAATTAAAGATTTTACATTCAAAAACAGCAAGATATAAGTGTAAACTTGCATTGAAAGAGTCTTGGTATTAACAAAATGTGAATACAGAAAAAAAATTACATGAATGCAACTTTTCTTTCAAGAAAAATCCGTAAGGGAAATTAAATGTTTTAATAGCTGGACTCTTGAAAGAATTTCAAAGAAAAAGTATCCTTTGTACATAATGAGCAGTGATGAATGAAAATAGAAAGCTACAGCATAACTCAGGGATTTTCTCAATAACAGTCTTCAATTATCTATTTTGAAAGCCTAAAACTCGTACTAGTAACAGTATATAACACTGGCTCATTTCAGATGGCAGATTCATGGATTGTTCAGTGTTACTCTGAAAAAAATTCTTCTTGAAGGGTGCTTTGAATTTCAACAAAGCCTGTGGAAGTATTTCTAAAAAGATCTGCTTCAACACACTGACTATAGTCCACATGGCACACTTAAAAGGTTCATTGCAGCAACACCTGGCTCTGAAGCACATATAAACTTCACACACACCAAAACTGCTGATCCAACAGAATGATTTATTTTTCCACTATGGGTGATTCATGCGTTACTTGTTTTGAGGTATGTATTTAGGCTGAGAAGGACAGCTATTAGCCCCACATTTTGAAACTCCGTTGTTTTATGGCTGAACAGTCTCTGCTGGGATGAGATTCCCTGTAGTATCCAGCTGCATACATTTACATGAACACGCAGAAACTGGACACTCAGTATGGTCCCTGGATAAGAAAGGAAACGGGGGATTATAAAATTGTAAAGGAACAGTTTTGTAATCTCAGTCCTGTATTTCCCAAAACGTAAATCTGTGTAGCAACATGATCAAAGAAATCAATAGCTGATCATAATTTGGAAATAGTAATAAAGCATACAGAATAAATCAGCAATAAGTTATCTGAAAGCAGAAGATCAATCCTTTTAAACTATGAAAATATAGGCAGAAAGGACAGAGGCTCAGAAAGTAAGTTTCACACAGTCAACTTGAAGTAGATAAAATTAAAACGACACTCTCGTCCTTGTCCTGTCTGCATCTTTGAAAATGATCTTTCTAATATGTAAAATGGTGCCATATTCAAAGTTTAAATTCAAGACAGGGAGTCCAATATAGTGTGACAAATTGGGCTCAAATATTGCCAGCAGTAGGCACCAACTGCAGGAGGTATAGCATGACATCTAGAGAGAGGAGACCTGAATTTAATACATCCTACAGTTTAATGGGATAAAAGGCTACTAACTGTGCATGACACAGAATAATTAATGGGCAACATGCCACATCTTGCAATAAATCACGAGGCAACCTAGAAACTAATCCTAGCCATGCTGCTAAACTGTCAGAATAGAACTCCAATGAACCTGACATTTGACACCTGTCATCACATGAGAAAATAGAAAGGAATATGTTTTTAAACACAGTACACAAAATTTAAAAACAAGACAGTCAGGACTGTCAACCTGAAATCGCTATTTACATTTGTGAAATTAACACACTCTCCTAGATCCTGAGCAATAGCTGACCCCCAGTACCATGATAAAAAGCAGCCTTTTGTCCAGCTAGCAAGTTCTCCACTTTATCAGACTGCTTCCGTAGGCTGCCAGCTTCCCTTTCCGTTGGGCCACCCCTAACAATGGCTGCCCCCCAAAAGAATTTGCCATTTCTTTGATCCCTATGTCAGGACAGATCTCCCCCACATCTTTCCAAATCAAACTATCAAGCAGTACCAATATGCCAAGACAGTCATGGAAAAGAGAAAGTTTGTTCACACCTACAGCTGTTTCTAGGCAGGGCATGGCTTTCAGCACAATGGCACAGGGGTTAATTGGATGACTGGCCATTACTGGTTATAGTGTCTTGTAATCACACACAACTGTCTTGAATCTCAAGCAAATGCTCAGACTCTCCACTGTGGGATGATAGCAGCAGAAATTTGACTCTGCTGACATACATTCCATGCAAAAGCTAGCGTTAATGCAATATTAAGACTTGGAAATCATGGATTCAAAAATCAGGAGATGCAGAGTTAAAGCTGAAATCTCAACCTTAAGCTTGGTTCACTTGTGTGTATGCCTGGCTTAAATTATATTTTTACGTAATACCAGACAAGTAAATACAATATATAATAAACACGACAGCCAAGGAGGTATGTCCGATATGGCACATTAGATATAAATTTATGTGAGAGGCTACATGTTTAATTTTGTCAGTTTACCTGAACCAGCTGAGCATGTGTCCAGCATGACCACCATGCCTGCAGTTGTGGCACCATGTAAACCAGTTGTTGAACTGGGCTAATTTCTTGTCCTTGCTAAGATCCACCTTTTCATCTGACTTTGATACTCCTATGGATAGGTAAGAAACTTTCAGTCAATATCTGTGCTATATTGGAGTATTAAAGAACTTAAAATTGAAATTAGGAGCTTGATTTGGAAGCAGAAATAAACTGATAAATTAGTTAAGAAAAAGTTATCACCCCAAAATAAATGAAAATTACAGTTATTTCACCAATGATTCTATCTTGAAAGCGTGAACATTTTTCTTCAATATGGTATTTCTCATTTGAGCACAAATATTTTGAAATATTATAGTTGTTTACAGTGTTACCATGTGTATTTTACATGACTTTTTGGTACTCCCAATACTACTAAGATCTTACATTCTGGCTTCTCAGGAGGTTTCATATGAGAGTATTTGCAATACATTTCTATTCTGAGATTTTATAAAATGACTTCCACCCCAACAGGTAATTAGCAAAATTAATAAACAGGAAAAAATGTTAATATACAGGAAGTATAAAACAACCAATAGAATTATATTGCTAAGCTACTGTTTTAGCTCTTACTGTCACAGTAATTTCTGCTTGCCTATTAATAGCTTCATATCACACTATTTCTTTTGCAATAACTGCTACATTTTCTAATGTTACCTATTTCATTGCGAGGATTTCTTTTCTGCTTTGGAAGAGTGTTACTCTAGAACCGCATAGTAACCTATCAATAAGCTATAAATGGAAACAATTTAATAAAGAAGTCTTAAGATGGACTGGTGAAACAGTTGGGAAAGATGTGTGTATGTATGACAACACAATACTATATTCTATGTCTGTAATATCACAATACTGAACTATAAGCATGGTTAGTGAGAGAAAGCATGAACACAATTTGTTTAGCATTTAACCAGTAAGACTGAAGGCTGTTACAGCCATGAAATAAACCTCATGACAGTACAGTGGAGGACATATTATTAGTTTGCTAGTTAGCAATAAAATTTTTGCAGACAGACATACATTTTACATATGGGGGATCACCACAGGATGGCTGGCCCTTTCTGGGGAGTCAGGACCCACTCTACCCATGACAGGCTTCTTTAAGGAGAACGAGCCCATCTGTAAGCAATTAACTGCCATGGGGGGTCTGGTTAGCAGCTAACTAATGAGCACCTGGACCTGACAGGAGGCTATTAGAGCTCAGTTGGAGGAGGGTGCTCCTGGAGAGAGGAGCTCCCAGAGACTCTAGCAGGAGAACTGCTTGCCTGTTAACCTCTCTAAGGTGATAAGTGAAAGGACTGCGTAAAGAGGGGCCAGCTGGGGAGAAGCTAGCCTGAACTCTAACCCAGCTCCAGGACGACAGTGGAGAATTCCTGACCTAAGGAGAGTGAACCTGTTTTGAAATACAATCCAGCAACAGGAAAGCTGTGGACTCTTGATTTAAGGAGTGTGAGTCATTTAAGCTATAACTCTGCTCCAGGAAGAGTGGCTGTGGACTCCTGAACTTGGGAGAAGACACTTGTCAATATTAACCACAGTATCAGCAGTAGGGTTGGACTTGAGGGACTAACAATGAGGTTTTTGTACTCTGTAAAAAAAAGTTAATGAGTGCCCACAACAAGAGGTGGGGTGGATCTTGTTCTCAGTACCAGGTCTCAGTGAGTGATTGCAAGCACCAAGAGGGAGCTGAGGGCTGTATAACTGCAGGGCCAAAAGGGGGCATGATCAAGGACACATCCCTGTCACAGGGAAGAGGAGAAGAGAGAATAAGTTTTACTATAATTACATTTTAGAAATATAAAGTGCTTTTTTTTGTTTCAAGGCATGGATTAAATCTTATTCATGTCGCTGTAAAATGTAAACAGTTAGCTAAAAACTTTCTAGGGTACACGTAAGTAAGAAAGAAGCGCATAGTCTCTTGGATATATTTAATGGCTTTAACTTGCTGCCATTGTCTTTGTTTTTCACCCTACACTTACAGATTTGTCAACAATAATAAAGATACAATACTACCATTTACTAAATTTGTATTTTTACCTACTTTTTGTTTATAGCATGAAATTCTTAACAATTCTATAGTATATTTCCATCTTAGGATCAGCTTGTTTGTAAAGTGATCCCAATAACCCTGTGAAGTACATAACTAAGTTTTAGTCTCATTTTACTGAAGCAGAGAGGTCAAGTCACTTGCCCAAGGTCATAAAGGAAAACTGTGTTAGAGTCAGGATTAGAAATCAGGAATTCTTAGTTCTTCCCTGTCCTGTGTTCTGACTACTAGACTCTCACTTCTCCCACATGTGACTAGACTCCAGAAGACTGAAGTCTTGAGTCATACAATACATACATCTTCATAGGCAGTAGCAGCAACAGAAGAACAGTAGGCTGCAATGCAAGAATGTACCTCATCTACTTGGGAGAGCCTACTCTCTAGCAGTGACAGGGTAACCTCCATGTTCATTGAGGGAGTAGGTATCTTACAGGCAAACGGTCAGGAACAACTAATTTCCAAACTGTCAGGCATCAAACAATTGTAATCAGGGGTCTCATCACTGAACTGGGTGGGATTTGAACCAGTAAATCTTTCACTCAATGAGAGAGGTATTTCAAAATAATAAGACTAGAAAGAGATACAAATGCAATGTCATTAAACAGGGGCCACTAATCATGCACCTTTAAATAGTACTGCATTTTAAGATTAAAAAGGAATTTCTTAAAATTGTGCCATACCAGGGCAGCTGGAAACTGGAGTCCCCATATTTATTAGGCAAAGTGCACAGCGAGGAAGGGGTTTCCGACAACCAGGACAACTTGTAACCTTTGACTTGGTTGGTGAGCCACTTACTCCATATTGACTAAAACCTCGGCCCTGATGAGGTATGGCTGAACAGCTATAAGAGATTGATTTCCCACAGAAATTGCAACTCACAAATACCTACAAAAACACAGACAAGAGCCAAAATTAATAATAGGAATGACATACTTGCAATAGGGTACAACCAATAAATTCTAGTTATGTTCATGAATTGACAAGTTTTGCTTTGCTGATTTAAGATAAAAGGCTAAAATCTCATTAGGAATAGACAGTTGGCCACAAGCTACAGAATTATAAAAAAAACAAAAAAAAAAAACCCACACCCACAGTCAATAACAGCAATGTATTGGAGTTGAAATATACTTAAGAGGAGTGCCCATCTGAGGTTCTAAACAGAATATGAAGGTAAACAGATACAAAAGTTTCGAATCTTGAGAGATACAAGGCTGTAGGACTCTACATGACACTATTTTAGGGAAAAAAATATTGATTCTTATGTCTTTAGCCATGTAAGATAGATATATATATATATATAGATATATATATATTTTTTCTCTCTCTCTCTCTCTCTCTCTCTCCCTCCCTCCCTCCCTCTCTCCCTCCCTCTCTCTCTCCCTCCCTCCCTCCAAAAATGAGCTTACTTTAATAAAAAAACTTGAAAGCTTATTTCATTTCCACTGTTTTGTAAGGGGAAACTGGATTTTTTCAGTACTATTTTCCCTCATCTAACAATCAGGATTGCAGCTTTTTGTCAGACAACTGCCACCCTGCCTGCCCTAGACACATTTAACAGGCTCTTGCAGCAACATTTTCAGCATGGCCTTAAACCAGGCCTTCCTTTCTGCTGGTGGAGGCCAAGATGTGGCTAACAAGGAGTATGTGCCTCTCTATGCATGTGTGACGGACTGACAATATCCTGAACAAATCTTATGAATTAAGTTAAACCTTATTGAATACCTTTGGGGTACATTGCATTAAAAAGGCAATTGTGTATGTGTTGTGGCAGCATGTACCCTCTCTCATAGGGAGGAGGGATGCTAATACACTTCCTCCATTGTCAGCCCTTTGAAGGTACCCTCTGGAGAGGCGTACATATACTAGTTCACACTCGATTTTCCAGGGACCAACAGAAAGACAGGAATTTTAGATAAACAGCCTGGTTTTAAAATGCCTCACAGCCTTCTTCCCCAGCAAATGGACAGGACCCCTGGGTCCAAGAAGGTCCCAAATCCTTTAGAAAGGGTTGGAAGGTCTGGACCTACTGAAGACACAAGGCTGTGCTAGGTCTGAGCAGACGCTGTGATGAACGTGTGAAAGGAAACCCTATGGATGAGGTGCTGAAGGACTAACTTTTTACCTTATTAAATGCTCACAAAAATATAATTCATGTTCACCTGTGCTAAAGGTTTTGAACTGGGATCCAGCTTACTCCTATGGATGTCAAATTCTGCTCGTTTATGCCAGAACCTCCAAGCATCCAACAAATTCCTGTAATTCTCAATCCAATATTGAACCCTCTCATCCTTAAGTACGTCGGACGGAGAACCCTAAAGCATGAAATAAACCAACATACACAATACTAGGGATGTAAATAGAGTTTTTAAAAGTACCCGTTCAAATTATATTAGTTTAAATAGTTAACTGTTCAATTGTTAACACAACAGCGGTCAAGGTCTGGGGTTGGGGGCTGCCGCCAATTTGTTTTAAATGTTAACCGCAATATATTAACGGTAAGACTAATACATATTTTACATCCCCCCCACAATACAAGTATTTCTTCAGAGGGTTTCACATGATTTAGTAAAAGATATCTGAAGCAATACAATGTAGTATGACTAAAGGAAACATTCAAAATTATTAAATAAAAAAATTCAGCAAACATGAGCTATAATGCAATACTACGCTTTAGTACTGTTCAGAAACCCATGTATCTTATAATTGTACCAAGCTTTGTTAGGAGCATGATATGCTTATTGTCCAAGTATTCAATATTTTAATTCACAGTTTGATTATGATTAACAACAAAGTTTTGTTTTTTACATTTCTACATAGTGCTTTACAAGTGCATAGCACTTTACACAAACATGATCCCCACTAGAGAGCTTGCAATTTAATCAAATAAGATGGACAGGACACGGAGGTATAACATCAGGAAGGGGAGGACGACGTAAAACAAGTGTGAAAAAAACTGTGCTTTCACACAGTTGCTATAGTAACATGGTACACAATGTTAGGGTAGGTTTTTTTAAACTAGTATTTTCATTGTGTGTATTGTACAAGGGAGGGAATGTGGGAAAAGGCAGAATTGACGAGAGGTCTGAAGGGGAGAGGGAGTCAGCATGTGTACAGGATCAAAAATGTAGAACACAGCAGAAGGGGGGTAATGACATGGCAGGATACATTCAGTCACATACACTTTTCAAGCTCTGCACCACTGTATCTAATACTTACCCCAAGCTTAAGTCTTCTTGTCAGGTAGAAAACACTTGTACTCCGATATCCCTTAACCCAGACCCACAGGACTTTAAAAGTAGAACCAGACATCAGAAGACTAAACTCACTATCCAAAAGGTAGGTATGAAAGTCAATGGTGGTGGTGACAGCAACTCTGCCAACACAATCCAGAAGCAATGACATGGTAAGAATCCAAGTTCCTCTGCCACCAGTTTCTGGGAAGTAAGGAAGGTACTGGGACATTTCTCAGAGTACCATCCTTGGATCCTGCTTGGGAGCTCAATCAGTATCATACTGTGACTAGGTGTGCCCAGCCCAGCTAGTGGAAGGGGAAAGGAGTATTCCATGTCTTTCCCCAGAAAGAGCAATGAGAACCTCTGCTTCTAAGGTGCCAAATGAAACACTGAAAGTAAACTACATAGGCTATACATGGTATATCTCATTTTTTTTAATACATGAGAAGAAGTACTTTTCAGTTCACTATATAAGATTTATTACTATAGTGCTGAAGAATAATGGAGGAGTAACCTGAAATTACTTCAGAGAGAAATACTAACCTGGAGCATACAATAGCTTGCTGTCTGGACATCCCCGGTTCTATCAACGTAACTTTCCATTAAGTCCACTCCATCTTTTGTCAGTCCTGTCAGCAGAATTCCTTCCAAGTTCCCAGCATCTTTCAATTCATTTGTCAGCTTTTCAATGAATCTATTCAGCTACAAAAATAAAGGATTTCCACCTTCATTTTCTTCTCATGACCTTTTAATGTGACCAATTAGCACATGCTAACACTCCAACTTTTTGATTGATTTTCTCCCTAAGAGGTATCTGCTGGAATTTATGCAGAAAAATGAGTCTAAAATACAGAAACATCCACTTCATTGCATCAGAGTCAAAATCCTGGCAAACATACTCAAGTTTCCTCACATGGTGGGAAAACAAAAAAGATGAGCCACCATTTCAGTAATTTAAAAATACCCTTTCCTACTGTCAAACAACCTATCTGATTTCTCTTAACTTAATCTGGAATATAAGAGTTTGCTGTTCTACCAGTACAGAACATGCTCTGAAGTCAAGTCTTAGAGATTAACACACATTCTCTTTGAAAGAGCTTCTTCACAATTAGACAACAATTTATGGAGCATTTAAACAGCAAAGAAAGAGTTTGTGTAGCTTAATCAGGTTAGTTTGTTACAGGCATGTAAAAAAGTCTTTAACCATTTCTCATGAAAACAGATTAAACAAATTCACATGCCTAGATAAGATCACTAATTGAAGGATGCTTAATTTTTGTTTGCTAACCTGACCATGTGTATGTGAGCCAGACAAAGGAGAAGGAAGGGCAACCAAGAGACAGATTGTGAAAACCTCCTCTACACAGTTTGGTCCTGATCCAGCCATTGACACCATGCAAGCAGAACTCTGTCAGCATGAAGCACCACTGAATTAAATGGGAAATCACCTATGCAAAATCAGTTGTGGAATAAGACACTATAATTATAAAATTGCTAGTAAAGATATATCAGGGATTATAAGGACTATGGCATTAACAGTATGTGTATCCTATTAGAAATACATTCACTATTTTTATAGCATGTTACTATGTTAAAGTATTAATATTGACCTTAAATTATCACAATTGGAAGTCAGACTGAAGGTATAATCCGATTTTCAGATTATATAATAGTTAATATATTCCTTTTTATTTTCAGGAAAGGAACACATTGTATCATTACTTCCATTCACACTTAGAATTTTCTATAAAAGGTTCTGATTAAAGATACAGGATGGCATATCAGCTTATGCTAATATTCAAACACACACTCACCTGTGCATCATTGAGGAATTTACAAGCAAATGCCACTCTGTCTCGTACTGCTACCTTATTCTCATACTGTGGGGAAAGATAGATACATATGGCAATATAAAGCTCAAATTTCCAAATCACTCATTGTTTCTAAACAGAACAGTAGGCTTACTGTATAAATAATGACATGAATTTCATTATGCACATGAATAAGAGGTGTCCTCACATTGTGATATTAACTCTTTCAAGTACCAGGTTCCTTTTTATGCTTAGGTTTAGTCACAAAACCATTACCAGGGGCAATCTACCACAATGGCAAAGAGCCTGACCCAATAAATTGCACTTCAGTCTATGAAAAGCTGGCAAGTCACAGTGCTGGTCCATACTGCTTCCAGCATGTATAGTGGAGAATACATCCGAGCAGCAGGGATACATGCAGGGTGAAAAAAGGAGAAGGCTGGAAAACATGTGCAAGTGAGAGAAGAAAGATGGGAGGAGGTGCTGAAGTGGAGAGGAAAAGTAGACGGTGCTATTAAATTGTCTCTTGAAAAAAAAATCATATTAAAGGCATTAAAATAACCTCAATACTTCTGTTATTTATTATTGGTATTACAGTAGCACTAGAGACCTCAAATGAGACCTGCGCCCATTGTATTGGGCACTGTACAAACAGGGTAAGAGACTCCCGACCCCAAAGAACTCAGTCTATTTAAACAAGATAGATATCTCTTTCTAGCTGTTGGCTTATAGGTACAAATATTCAGTTATTTTACACCTCCTCTAATCTTTCATCCATACAGACCAAAAGCCCAAAGTTAGAACTCTTAACAGTTACAGATTAACCTATAAGCATTCTGTGGAAAACCAAACAGTTAAACCAAGTTTATGTCCTAAACAGGTTCAGAGAACAATTGTGAAGGTACCACATACTGGCAACATAATCAGAGGATAACCACACAATTGCTTTCTACAGTCACACATTGTAAGTAGGGCTGTCGATTAATAACAGTTAACTCACGCAATTAACTCAAAAAAATGAATCATGATTAAAAATATTAATCGTGATTAATCACTGTTTTAATCGCACTGTTAAACAATAGAATACCAAGTGAAATTTAATAACTATTTTTGGATGTTTTTCTTCATTTTCAAACATATTGATTTAAATTATAGCACAAAATACAAAGTGTACAGTGCTCACTTTATATTTATTTTTGATCAAATATTTGCACTGTAAGAAACAAAATAGTATGTTTCAATTCACCTCATACAAGTACTGTAGTGCAATCTCTATCACAAAAGTTGAACTTACAAATGTAGAAATATATACAAAATATAACTGCATTCAAAAAATAAAACAAAGTCCACTCAGGCCTATTTCTTGTTCAGCCAATCACTCAGACAAAACAAGTTTGTTTACATTGCAGGAGATAATGCCACCTGCTTCTTGTTCACGGAACAGGTGTTCTCATGGCACTGTTGTAGCCGGCATCGCAAGATTTTTACATGCCAGATGCGCTAAATATTCATGTCCCTTCATGCTTCAGCCACCATTCCAGAGGACATGCATTCATGCTGAGGACAAGTTCTGCTTGATAACAATCCAAAGCAGTGCGGACCAACATGTTCATTTTCATCATCCGAGTCAGATGCCACCAGCAGAAGGCTGATTTTCTTTTTTTTTGGTGATTCACGTTCTGTAGTTCCCGCATTGGAGTGTTGCTCTTTTAAGACTTCTGAAAGCATGCTCCACATTTCTTCCCTCTCAAATTTTAGAAGGCACATCAGATTCTTAAACCTTGGGTCGAGTACTGTAGCTCTCTTTAGAAATCTCATATTGGTACCTTCTTTGCATTTTGTCAAATCTGCAGCAAAAGTGTTCTTAAAATGAAGATGTGCTGAGTCATCATCCGAGACTACTAGAATATGAAATATATGGCAGATAAAATAGAGCAGGAGATATACTACTCTCCCCCCAAGGAGTTCAAATTTAATTAAATTTAAAATGTCTTTTTTTTTTTTAATATAATGAGCGAGATCAGCCTGGAAGCATGTCCTCTGGAATGGTAGTTGAAGCATGAAGGGGCATAGGAATGTTCAGCATATCTGGCACGTAAATACCTTGCAATGCCGACTACAAAAGTCCCATACGAATGCCTGTTCTCACTTTCAGGTGACGTTGTAAATAAGAAGCCAGCAGCATTAACTCCCATAGATGTAAACAAACTTGTTTGTCTTAGCAATTGGCTGAACGAGAAGTAGGACTAAGTGGACTTGTAGGCTCTGAAGTTTTACATTGTTTTGTTTGAGTGCAGTTATGTAACAACATCATCTAGATTTTGTAAATTGCACTTTCACGATAAAGAGATTGCATTATGGTACTTATGAGATGAATTGAAAAATACCGTTTCATTTATCATTTTTAGTGCAAATATTTGTAATCAATTGGTATTCTATTGTATAACAGTGTGATTAAAACTGCGATTAATCAATTAATTTTTTGAGTTGATCATGTGAGTTAACTGCGATTAAATCGACAGCCCTAATTTAAATTACAACACAGAATACAAAGTGTACAGTGCTCACTATTTTTATTACAAATATTTGCACTGTAAAAATGATAAACAAAAGAAATAGTATTTTTCACTGGGAATTCCAACCTGTCTTTATTTTATTTTTTTTAATTTTAAGGTAAACCGGGGGGAGGGGGGAAAAAAATCTAGACTTTTTAATTTTCAAGTATACCTTTTATTTAACACCCACACACAACTTATTTATTATCCTTCCCTTTATCTTGTTGGCCCTGTTTGTGTTACCTTTTGCCAATCCCTTCTTAGACCCCTGTGACTGGTTTTTAGTGTTTTGGTGGATTATTCTATGAACTGCTAACCCTCCTTAGATTTCCATTTGCTCTTATTCCCCCACATCCTGGAGAGAGAGTACACATTTGCTGAAAGGGAGAACATTCATCTCAGCCTCACTTTATGTCATGACTGCTTTCCTTCACAATGTCTGGACAGCTATCCCTTTGATGCCAGTTAACACCGATCCTTACACTGGCCAGAACAGTTTCTGTTAAGTGATGCACGGCACTTTCTTGCCCCCCTTCCCCCAATCACTGAGGGACTTGACCCCAAAAGGAGTTGTGAGGGTGGGGGGGGGGGGGGGGGCAAAAAAAATGGGGGGGGGGGGGACCCTTACTTCTGCGTTGCTGCTGGGGACGGCGCTGCCTTCAGACCTGAGCAGCTGGAGAGCGGTGGCTGCTGGCCAGGAGCCCAGCGCTGGAGGCAGAGCTGCCACCAGCAGCAGTGCAGAAGCAAGCATGGCATTGTAGGATATTGCCATCCTTACTTCTTTGCTGCTGCTGGGGCACTGCCTTCAGAGCTGGGCACCTGGCCAACAATCGCCCCTCTCTGGCTGCCCAGCTCTGAAGGCAATGCAGAAGGGTGGCAGTACCATGACGACCCCCCCCCCCACAAGAAAGCCTCCCTTTTGGGTCAGGACCCCCAATTTGAGAAACGGTCTCCCCCGTGAAATCTGTACAGTATAGGGTAAAAGCACACAAAAGACCAGATTTCATGGTCCGTGATGCATTTTTCATGGCCGTGAATTTGGTAGGGCCCTATGCATAGGATTACCCTATTCTATTATGCCAGCTGTTAAGAAATTTTGATTTGTTTTTCCAGAAGATAGCCTAAGCAAGGTAGTCAATCTTTTAAAAGATCCGTTTTTTAAATTTGCTAGAAAACAACAAAGACGACAATTGAGTGAATTGGAATGCTCACTTAAGGGAAAACATGGGGGGAAATTTGATGAACTTCTCTACTTTCTCAATTTGCTTTCCCTTCCCTCCCCTTTTACAATCTTCTCACTCATTTGCTTCCCTACCTGCTTAAGTATTTTCTTAACATTTTCTTTTATTGTTTGAAAGACAGAAGATCCTAACTATAAATCTAAAGGGTTATTCATGTAGTTTTGTATAGTTTTACAATGAGTTTACAATTAAAGAAAAAAAACCTAAATTAACTCTTAAGTTTTACTATGAAGTGAACTTTTACATTTTTAGCTAGAATTTTATTCCATCTTTATAGATTATTCATGAATATCATAGGATTTTTTTTAAAGGAAATATTCATGAGAAAACAACAATGAGCATCAGGAGGAACTAAACAAGAATACATTCTAATTAGAATTAAATTCAAAGAATTCATGTATACAGTTAAAGGAGGTTTAGTATGACAAATTTGCTTACCAAAACTCCATCATACGAACCAGATTCACTTGTCAGAAAAGCAAACATGGCACACAAGTAGGGGTTGTTTAGTTGTAATCTTAGAGTGCTGCACATTTCTCTCCAAAGGGAGTTTTTCTCATCTGTATATCCTGATAAAGCCATTGCTACTACATTGAGGTTCAGATCACCTGATTAACAAAAACCACCAAGTATAGGGATAAAAATTTTGAAGCACTTGTCCAATAAGAACTTTAAAATAATCTGAAATAGCCCACATATGCTGACATTCAGACATACTTTCCTCGCTTCCTGCATCACTAAACATTAAACTAATGAAAAGCAATCTATTTACATAATATAAAACTGAAACACACCTCCATAAAAGAAAAAGATTGGTCTTGGGTATTGGACTAGATATCAGCATTTTTAGGGTTCTAGTGGATGTATTTTGTACAGGGCATGAGATCATCCCTTACTCTTTCAAGAGACTAAGACCAATAATGCATTAAAGAAGGAAGCAACAGATTAGAATTGGTTAAATACTAGATAATGTTTTCACCCCTCACTAACATGGGGCCCAATCCAACCCTCACTGAATTAAGTGTATCAAGGGTGGGTGTTCACTTGCTGCCATTAATGTCCTGATGGGGTTTCTATGGAAGGGAAAACTGATGTAGTAACAGTAAGGCAAGTTATCTGCAACCAAAAAAATAAAAATAAAAAATTAGAAGGTACAAAATATACCTTTTTCAGAAGAAGCTCCTTTATTTAGGATCTGTATTGCTCGCCGTATGTCCAAGTTGAAGAGTGCCACAGCAGCAGCTCTCTCCCAGTCTCCTTCTTGTTCCAAAGAATTTAGAAAGGGTTCCACATCTAGATCTGTTCCCTTCTTTATCCACCCACAGAGCTGCAAGGCCAATGACCTCTCCTCACTTAGATACTGAATAATATCTGCCTGCCTATCGGACCCACTCCTGCTATGCCTCAAATTCTCTGTTGTTCCTAAGAAGAAACACAATTTAAATTATTTGACCGACAATTTGCAACATTTTAATTTCAGGCTTCATTGAAAACAAAGTTAGTTTTACAAAAGAACATTTACTAAACTTTTGTTTTAGCATTAATATAGAATAGAATTTGTTGTAAATACATGGCTTCTTAGCATGTACATCAAACTGATACTTATTTCCAATCAAGTCTTCTTACCAACACAACATTCTGGAAACTCTTCATTGCTCCTCTGAACTTTGAAACAAGATTTTCAGATTTGAAAAAGCAAAAGATAAGCTTAAAAAGGAAAGAGGTGACAGAACAGCACATGCTTCTGTTATTACTAGTATTCTACGGTTCATTATTCTGACTTATACAAAGAAGTAACCAGTACAAAGTCTATTTGGCTGCTGCTGCATTCTTACTCAGAAAAAAATTATATTGTCAAATGATTACAGAAAAAGAATCATTTTCAAGCTTTTACATAACATCAAGAAAAGCAATGTTTGAAATAAATCTTCATGACCTTTTAAATAAGTTGAAACCCATCTTGCACTACGTTAACAGACTTTCAAAGCAAACCAGAAATTCTGGGTGCTATTGCAAGAAAAATTATGTTTCGTTTCAAATTACCATATATACTCGTTCATAAGCTGAATTTTTTTAGCAAAAAAGGGAAGCACCAGAGACGGGGGTCGGCTTATGAACGGGTATAAAGAGGGAGAGATGGAACACAGTCCCCCCCCAACAGAGGGAGCAAGGAGAGGCAGCACAGCCAGCAGAGACAGAAGGGAAGAGGCAGAGCCAGAGTCTCTCCACTTCTGGCCACACTGCTCTCCCCCCAGCCTCCAAAGCAGCTGCAGCACCAGGGCTGGCAGGCTGTGACCATGCCGCCCGGGTGCCGGAGCACGCTGCGTTCACGCTGCCCGGCCCAGCCCACTGGAACATGCTGCGGCTGCGTGGCCCAGTCTGGCCCGCCAGAGCAGGCTGCAGCTGCACCACCCAGCCTGCCAGAGCAGCTCCAGCCAGGTCAGAGATCCTCAGAGACACCAGCAGCTTATCCTGATGGCCTGGGAGCCAAAGTTTGCTGACCCCTGAATTATAGGGTCGGCTTATGAACGGGTTATAAAAATTTTCCATTTTTACTTATCCATCTTTTGGGGGGGGGGGGTGTCGACTTATAAACGAACTGGCTTATGATCGAGTATATACGGTATTTATCCAAGAGCCAATTAGAAACTAATGTTTACTTGTGCTTCTGCATCATCTTTCTGCATATTCATTTTTTCCATATACTGTAACGTGCGTTCTAACAAGTTAACAATTTTGTACATGTGACAAACCATACCGGTCTCCACAAAGTTTTTGTAAACATGCTACAGTAGAATTATTAAAGTAGTAATGTTCTTACCCAAAGATGACTTCACAATTGATTTAATGCCTGCATAAACTAAGGACCCTTTGTTTCCTGCAAGCTTCTGATCCATATCTTCAGTATACTGTTTCATAAGTATTCACACGTATAGGAAACATGAAAAAGTCTTAATGTTTAATTACAGGAAAAAGACCCCATTCTTTCAAATGTGCTTCTATTCAAGTAGTCTTACGTACCAGCCTCTCCACAATAGGATGGTCACCGGCAGATCACCACACTAATGGAACATTGTAAGCAAAATGAACTACTACATTTTAATAAATTAACATGATGTAAGAAAACGGTACCATGCACTGCTGTCAAAGAAGATTTCCTTACTTGCTAATTTGTTTATGGGTTGGCTGGCCCCAGCTCATTCACTAGGATTCTGAATAGCACCCCTCAATAAAATGAAGGGCAGGTACAGTCTACATAAGCAAAAATCTAAAGGGACTAAATTTAGGGAAAGAGTGAATGGAGAAAGGTCAAGTCTTTTCAACAAGAAACTTAATTAATGGATTCTCCCCTTAAGTGCCTACCCAGCATCCAAAAGTGTCAAGCGCTAAATGTTGAGGTCTCTTTCTATACATGAAATTATTCCTGAATAAGTCCATGTGTAGACACTCCTATTCCAAAAGTGCCTTGTCGACTTTCAAAGTGGATGTAACTAAACAGAAAGAAGGCATATTCTGGAAGAGCTGTTTCTGAATAACTGTATGTATATAGACAAGTCCATAGCCTGTAAATATTCGTGCTTATCTACATGGGGAAATTTACAGGTATAATTATAATGGTATAACTATGCTGGTAAATCTTCCCATGTAGACAAGCCCTTAGTGAAAGTGCGCAGGGAGCAAAAGGTGACTGCTTTTTACAGTTTGTCCACAAACGTGTGTTGCTTTTCACCCAAATGGTAGCCAGGGATATAGGAATGGACCCAGTTTCCACTAGGCAGGGGGGTACTTGTACATTCTGAAGTATTTAACTGCCTCCAGGTTTGTAAATGTGAATGGGCCCTAAATCAGGAAAGTATACAACTGTCTAAAATGTTTGGAACTATTCAGGTAGATTTTTAGAGTCCTATGCAATCATGCATGAAAACAAACATTTAGCACTTACATACTTTTAATCTTCAAAGTGCTTTACGAACATTAGTTAGTCCTTACAATACACTCTGAAGAGTAGATATTTCACTTGTAACAATGAAACATTTCCTAAAATACAGTTACAAAAAATAAAGAGACCATATTTAATTTAAATGAAAGGTAAGCATTACCCTGATCATGCAAATAGGTATTGGATTGCCTCTAAGTGAATTTTGAAGTGTCCTGGGGAGATGAAGGACATAAACACACGTCTGGAAAGAAAAATACTAGGACAATATGTTTTTTCCTCCATTATTTTTTCCCCTGGGCTTTGGAAAAGTAGAATTTCAATTCTTATGTTTAATATTCAGAAAGTATTTGCAATCTCTTGCACGGTTTACATTATAAGCTCTTTACACATTCAGTATGAAATACAAATTGTTTATATAGAGACTGATCTGTATATAAGGTTCCTTTACAACGTCCCTTATTTTACATTTTAAAGGATATAGTGCAGAGTGTACCAAAGTGACTTCAGCTGAGAATCTTCATTTCCAGCTAGAAGATGGTTTCTCCAGACCTGTTCAGTATCAAGGCCATACCTGGATAAAGCCCTGAGACGCATTTTAGTGGCTATGTCTTTTTCTAAGGAACTAGCCTTTCCTTCCTCTGTGCATTCATATAAGTGTCGGCCACAAGCCCACATAAGAGATGTAACTGGACTCCATGCCAGAGAAATCCTTTCAAAAACTGTGAAGTCAGACATAGTTCTGTTGGGAGTCACAACTACCATTCGATTTTGACTTGTGGGATGCCATGCAAAGGAAGCAATATAATTTTCACATGGTTGCACACTTCGTTCAATTATTGTAGGTTCAGTTTCATCTCCAATAGGTGTGGGAGTATGCTGCATATCATACAATCTAATAATATTACTATCCCTAGTTAAAGTAGCTAGCAGTCCAGTTCTTGTTGGACACCAAGCTACTTTTGTTAGGGGCTTTGGTTGCTCTGTCAGGGTCAAAACAGGCTTTTCAAATTTTCTGAGATCCCATATGGCAACCTGACCTTCATAGAAGGAAGCCACACGATCATGGAAGTATGGGTCTACAGTCACTCCCTGAACTGCCTTGGTATTTACAAACATTTTTTGGCTTGTATTTCTAAGGTCAAAGATAGCCAAGTTTCGGTGCATTCCAGCTAAAAGAAGTTTCTGGTCCCGTGGAAGCCAGCAAAGAGAAAGACAAGCATCATTCTGTCCCAATTCATAAAGCGGCTTTGTCACTACCAGCCCAGATTCAGTATCTCCAGCTGAAAGTCTCACTTTCTCTGTGGCAACAGCACTCTCTGGAGTGTATTTGCTACTTATATCCCAGATCAATACTGAAAAGTCAGCTCGATGTTTATCTAGGCCAGCAGCAAGCCAATTGCTGTCCAATGGATTCCACGCTAAGGTATTACATTGCCGTGCATGTTTTGGAACAAATTCTTTTCCTATCAGCTCTTTGGACTTGGAGTTGTGATCCTGGCCCAGACTGGTAAGGACAACTCGACCGTTTGCTTGTCCAACAGCTAGAAGACATTCAGGATCATATTTAGGATACCAAGCCACACATTTCATGTATGGCGTGTCTGAATTTATTGACAACAATGTAGCTGTAGTTTCTTCTGATAATCGCAAGGACCCTGCTTTGAGTTCTGAACTCACAGCAGACTCAATGTGATAGAGGCTCAATTCTGAGTCACATACAACAAACCTATCAACATGGTGTGGAGCCCAGAGAATATCAGGTTTGGAGCCACTCATGTTTGCAATTACAGATCAATGCAAGTGATTTAAAATTCTGTAGGAAGACTCAGGTGATGTCCATCCATATGGAAACTGTTAAGAAAGGAATTGTAATGGTTTTAGTAAACACAGATTTTTATATTTGTTCTTTAGTTGCCTAACTCATCTTTAAATTAAAACTAGGACAAGGCCTTGAGTTATTTCTAAGGCAAACAAACATTCAAGCACTGTATATACTTAAGCTGAGATTGTAAAATTCTCTCCCATCACCCCAAGGTTCCATTCTCAACCCTCTTCTGTCTGTCTGTTATTGATGTATCTACTGAGAAAAAATATCCAGCTAGCCTTCTTTGAACTGAAAACAGAATTTCTCATGTGTATGAAACCTTGTCAATATTACTCCTTTATTATACTACCATGAGTATTGAGGTATCTCAGCACCACATGATCTCAGACTAAAGTTCATCTCATGTGGCAATATGAAAAAATTCCATCAAAGCACAGATGTCTTCTCTGTAGCAAGAAAGGGAGGAGAATGCCATACCAACTTGCAAAAATGTAATGTCTCATTAAAAAGACTTAAAAGAAACCAACTCATATACAGGATATAGTATTAGGAGCACATACACATATTATAATATTGTCAAAGACACTTACAAAACTCTTAAGCAGCTCGCTTCTTTCCGCTTTGCAAGACAAAGAGCTTCAGGACGGTTTTTTCCGCAGAACTGGACTTTAATTCAAACATTAATTCCCACCTATTATTACTCTGCTACAAAGAACCTTCACACATTAGTGGGAGGAGGTTTTTTGTAGCTTTCCCGCCTCAGAAACACTCGTTCTATGTATCATTTTGAAGAAATCGCCTTCCCCGGAGCAAAGTGGGCATTTCTGGAAACCCGCCCCGCCCCGCCCCGCCCCGCTCACTCACCGCGCACCCGCCTCAGACGCTCGTCCGAACCGAATATGACGCTGCCGCTGGCACCTTCGCTTCCGGGTTTGGTCTCCGGACAACCCCAACGTAGAGACGCCAAGCGCCCTCCGTTTTCTACGCAGAAAGAAGCGCCGTTTGACTACGTCACCAGTGCGTCGGTAACGGATTTTGTCACGTTCGATTGCTGGCCTGAGAGGAAGCCCCGCCCCGATGCCGCCCCTGTTGCCAGGGCGACTGCTGGACTCGTCGGAAAGCGGAAGTGCTGGTTTCCCGCCGCTGGAGGGGGCTCTGTGGCCTGTCGCTGAGAGCGCGGCCGCGGCGCGAGCCTCGGGACTGTTCCACATGGGGGACGTGCACGAGGGGCCGGGGCCCCGCATCAACACCAGCCACCTAGCGCAGCACCTCGGGAAGTCCGTTTGCTAGTTGGAAAAAAATCCATTTAGTTGTTGATTGGAAATTTTAATTGAAATTGAAACATTAATACACACTTTAAAGCAGATATATGATAAAATACTTGTAAAAAGCTTAGTAGTTGTGAAAAGTATGAACAAAGACTAGCTTCTTCACACAGCTGCATTTGTTATGACAACGGCACATTCAATTCAACGATGTTGGTTGGCCTAATAATTTCAAATTATGATTGATAAACAACAGTAAATCATCAGATTCAAAAGCTGATGTTTATTGGTGTTTTTGATGTTTAAAATGTGGGGCTGAGAGTTAGCACCAAATCACCTTGCCAATGAAAACATACAAAACTTGCTTACAGCAACCGGGCAGCCACAGTAAGTTTAACTCCTTTTTTTATTGATATGTCATTAAAGTTTATACATATATGGAAGGAATTAATATACTTTCTCATTCTTGGGACAACTTGATTTAGTATGTTTTAGTGAGTTTGCTCCAGAATGCTAGATTTGTGACTGGAAAACTTATATAAATGCACGTTTCCTAGTCGGCCAAGATTTTTAAAATGCATTATTTGCCAAGGTCGTTATCTTGCATCGTCACTATCTCAAGAGGTCGTTCTCTCAGGGAGTTTCTATACTAAACATTTGTATTATATTATAATAAATTTTGTAGGTCAATTTAAATTAAATATTTTTTAAAAATTTTTAATATTTTTTGTTTTAGAAATCTAAAACTTATGTGTTTTGGTTTAATTTGCATTATCCTATCAAAACATTTAATTTATTCATATCTGTTTTAAATGTTGCAGGTCAAAATTAAAATGAAAAGATAAAAAACAACAGTTTTTCCACACAAAGGCCTCAAAAACCAACCAAGATGAAGAACATACCAAGAACTAAGAATATGCCAACATGTCATCTGAAGGTTCTAGTGGTATATCCACATCTGAACAGCCCGAAGTACAAATCCAGCTATCTACTAAAGAAACCGTGTCGCCACAGTCTAAAGGCAGTTCCTGATGTTTGTCAGTCAAACGTTACCCATTTATTGAAGTTACAAAAGATGGTTACTGGTGTACCTCTTACAAAGAATCTTACGAAGAAGGAAAGCTTCCTACTGCAACAGTTGGTAAAACTGGAGGAGCTTGGTTTGCCAAACCGATCAGCAAAGCCAATGCTGACAAACTATGTGAAAAGGCTGTAAAACACCAAGCCTCTGGAGTGCACTGACATGCAGGAAGCCTTATAAAAAACATGGCTGCCGCATCATACTTTCTATTTAAGCAAAAGATACCACACACTACAAACTGGAGGCCAATATTAAGTGCATTGTTACTTGTTAGCCCTGAAGTTGGACACTGGTTCCAAACAAGACTGGCAAATGCTCATTATCCTTCTGCAAGAAACTCAATTGACTGGTTAGAAGCCTGCAGTGCAACAATGAAAGACTCAGCAGTTGAAAAAGTGAAGCATTCTCTCACCACATTCAAAAAATGTGCATACCTGGCTGATGAATGCACCAATGCAAATGGTCATCAAGTATTAAGTCATAGCGTATGTTATCTTGATGTCAGTGGTAGGCCAGTAGATGCATTTCTAGATGTTCAGGTTATAGAAGACACACTGGCTGCATCTCTGACAACCCACATCTTAGAAGAGTTAAATGCTTGTGAATTGGACCCCAAACAGATGTCAGCTTGTACATTTGATGGAGCTGAAAACTTATCTGGAAGACATGGAGAATAAGCTTTGCTCAGAAAAAAGTGTAACCCTAATCTCTCCTATACGCACTGCAAATGACATCTACTCCAACTCGCACTAGTTCGAGCTGCAGAATCTTCAGAAGACATTTTAAAAGCCATACATTTAATGTCTTTGTTATAGACTTTTTTCAAGAAGAGTCCAAAAAGACTGAACATTGTGGAAAAAATAGACAATGCTCTGGGACTGAAGTTTAAATTAAGCCAACCTGCGAAAAAAACCCGGCTTTCTCACAAGCGATCCTTGGCTGGTGTCTTAAAATTACTGCAACCATTATTGCAGAGAAGACAATCACCATTCTCTCTCTTGTAAGTTTACTGTTGAAACCACTTGGGTCATTAAACAATGTCATCCAGGCATCCGCTACAAAGTAGTAGATCTTTGTCTAGCAATACAAGCTACACTTGGATCAATCAGAGAGATATCAATTAAAAACATACTGGAAGATGCAAAGACTTCAGTCCAGAAGTTGACCAATGAATCCTTAAGTGAAGTTGACAAAGAACTGTTCGTTAAGCCAGCTGAAAGAGTACACAGACTTGATTCTTACAAATCTACAACAGCGACTTCTGGGTTCTACTTTATCTCTGTGTAGCTTTTACAGATGCCTATCTTATAAAACATGGACAGTTGAGTGGAGCGAGGCACTACCAGCAATGGGGCTGCTATGTGATCAGGACAGAATAGAGAATTTGAACATATATGTCATACGACAAATGAACGAAGATTTGATTTCAACTTGTTCTTTTTTATTATCACTAGTGGCTCGACCTGATCTTTTTGCTATGTTTGCTAGGATGAAAGAAGTAGAAATTCAGCTCTTGATACTCCCAGTCACAACAGCTACAGTTAATGTTCTTTTTTGTCATTGAATAGAATTTTGTGTTCTGAAAGAAGTCATCTGCTGCCTGTAGTATACAATGTTGCATACGTCTCTACCCCTACTTAATATTCCTCCACTTATACATCCAATGATCGTGTTAGCCCCCTCAGCTACAACATCACACTGGGAGCTCATATTCAGTTGGTTATCCATGATGACCCTTAAGTCCTTTTCAATGCCACTACATTCCAGGATACAGTCCTTCATATTATAAGTGTGACCTACATTCTTTGTTCCTAGATGTATGACCTTGCATTTGGCTGTATTAAAACACATTGTTCTAATTCGTTTTTTCCCCCCTGCCCCATAAATGAGGAGATACTTGGACAATCCCGGCAAGTTGCAGTCTTGCGCCAGTTGAGAATAAGACGACTGCAATGGTGGGGTCATGTCCACTGTGCAGAAGGTCTGCTTTTATAGAAGGTTTATTGAGCTGAGATGAAAGGAAGCAGAGCATGTGGCCGACCATGAATGAAGTTGGAAGATGCAATTTTGAGGGATTTAAGAAGCCTAAACCCTCCCATACTGATTCTTTCCAAAGAAAGAAAACTTGCAAGAGATCATTCAAGATGGAAGTCCTTTCTATACACCACCATGGCTACGTCATAGCCATCTGAAACTGCTGCTGCTGTTCAAATTAGCATACTTTACCAAGTGATCCAAATCAGTCTGTATAACTGGCCTGTCTCTATCATTTACCATTCCACCAATTTTATGTTATCTGCTAATTTTACCAACAGTGATTTTATATTTTCTTCCAGATTGTTGGTAAATATATTGAATAGAATTGGGCCAAAACCATATCCCTGCCGGACTCCACTAGAAACACCTCCATGCGAGAATGATTCCTCATTTACTGTTAGTTATTGTCAACTTTCAGTTTAATATAGACTTCATTGATTTTGTATAGTGCTTTTTTAATGAGAATGTTGTGCAGGACTAGGTTAAATGACCTACAGAAATCTTATATCAACACAGTTACCTTTATCAATCCAACATGTAATCTCCTCAAAAAGTGATATCAGGTTTGTTTAACAAAGTATAAAGCCATGCTGATTGGCATTAATTAAACTACCATCCTTTCATTCTTTACTGATTGATCCAAGACAAAATCATGGAAAGGCTGATATGGGACGCAATGTTGGAATAATCAGTCGATGGTTTTCCTGATCATCACATTCATCCTTTTAAGATACTGGCACAATATTAGCTTTTTATCCAGTCCTCTGGAACCTCGCCACTGTTCCAAGATTTGTTAAAAATCAATATTAATGTTTAAGGAAGCTCCTGAGTCAATTCTTCTAATATTCTTGGGTACAAATTACACAGTCCTGCAGATTGATAAATGTTTAAGTTTAATAATTGCTATTTAACATCCTCCCTAGCTACTGATGGAATAGAAAGTATTTCATTATCACTGCAAAATATGAATACATCATCCTACTTCTTTCCAAATACAGAACATAAATATTTATTGGTTACTTCTTTTTCTGCATCATAATTGACTGTTTTACTGTCCTTATCCTTATCTAGTATCTCACTTAAAACATCAGTTTTTAGTTCAATTCATCATCTGTTAGAATAAGATCTAACATAAAATGACATCAAATCGGTGTCATTACTTTTTGTACTGGAAAATTGTCTATCATTTTTAAAAACCCAAAGGATGTTCTACTAGCGACAGCATGAGACTTCCAGCATATGTCTCTGCGATAGAGTATACAAACCCAAATTGGGAAAGAAGGATGTGATGGGTTAGATCACAGAAACCCCCTTGGGAACTGCCAGCTGATGTGCCAAGACTACTTCTGCCCCTGCTTTCCTGCCCTGGCAGCTTAGAACTCCAGCACCCTGTTTTGTTGAGCCAGACACACCAGTCTGCCCAGACCCAGACACAGGGTCTGAAC